GCGGCTAGGCTGGGCGGCGCGGCTCGGTCGGGCGGCGCGGCTCGGCTGGGCGGCGCGGCGCAGCAGGGGGTTGGGCGAGGGGCTTACCAGGGGTGCGGCAGTAGGGGCCGCGTCAGCAGAGGGGCCGCGACAGCAGAGGGGCCGCGGCAGTAGAGGGGCCGCTTCAGCAGAGGGGCCGCTTCAGCAGAAGGGCCGCTTTAGCAGAGGGGCCGCGACAGCAGGGGGGGGGGCGCTCAGCAGAGGGGTCGCGACAGCAGGGGGGCCGCGACTGCAGAGGCCGCGACAGTAGGGGCAGTGACGGCAGGGGCCGCGACAGCAGAGACCGCGACAGTAGCAGGGGCCGGAACGGCAGAGGCCGTGACGGCAGCAAGGGCCGCAGTGGCAGACTGGGCCGCGACAGCACTACGGGCAGTAGGGGCCACAACAGCAGCAGGGGCCGCAACAGCGGCAGGGGCCGCGTCGGCAGTAAGGGCCGCGTCGGCCGTAGGGGCCGCGACAACACAACGGGCCGCGTCGGCCGCAGGGGCCGCGTCGACCGTAGGGGCCGCAGGGGCCTCGTCGGCAGCAGGGGCCGCAGGGGCTGCGTCGGCAGCAGGGGCCGCGTAGGCCGCAGGGGCCGCGTAGGCACTAGGGGCCGCGTCGGCCGTAGGGGCCGCGACAGCAGTAGGGGTTGCGACAGCAGGGCAGGGGCAGGCGCGAAGCGCGCTGCGGTCAGGGCAGGACAAAAAAATGTTCCTAGTTCGGTGGGCCCTAAAAAAATGTTCCCACTGGGGAACTTGCTCTGATACCATGTCAAGAATCAACAGAAGGAATGGATGAACTAGGCAGGAGGTGGGTACAAGTATGAAAACCTAAAAAGTGTTGTACCCTGTATTGACTACCCCACTACAGGCTAGATGTACTATAGCAGATATGTTTGACAGGTACTGGATGAAAAGATCTCAAAGAGCTTGCGGACCATGAAATACAAATGAAAAGGAGCAAATGAGCACGAAAGCAACCATTCATACCCATCCACCACACACAAGCCCTTGTCCAGATCTGATCATCCAACCATGGGTTGGATGATTCTCCCGCCAAAAAACCACCGCGAGATAGTTCACTGTTCGTTGATTATTGGCTCCTGCAGTCGTGGATTATTGACAAGAACGGTTGTCATGGCCACATGTACGGATCAACTACACTTGGTAAGAAACGACTATAAAACACAAAGAGCAATGGTATAGAAGAACACACCAACATCAGCTTTAAGATGACAGTAACACAATAATTCAAATTAAAACCCTAAACGATGTAGAGACGGCCAGGTTGTCGCAACCGGCCTTGCGACCGGAATATCTCAGCGGAAACGGGTCGTCAAGCCTGACGACCTGTTGATGACTTGACGACATGCTGCCCCGGGCAGAAAAAAACTAAAACCCTATCGGATGGCATGCCATCCGAGGGAGGCATCAACCCTAAATCCATGCCTCCCTGTATTTAGGGTTGATGCCTCCCTGACCGGATGCATGCCCGAATGGGTTTTATTTTTTTGCCCGCGGGCAGCGAGCTCCCCCGGGCAGACTCGCTTGTCCGCTGAGATATATTCGGCGGCGACCGTCATCTGTCGGCCAAAGAGTTACAATGGCGAAATATGTCCTTCCCAACCACCATCACTCGCTAAGGGGGTCACGGGCAGGTTAGTTGGAACTCAGTTTTCACGGTCAGGTGGGCACGGAGCTGTGCAAGGTTGGCCTTGTCATATGCGGCTGAGCATTGCGCCCATGCTCTTCGGGATCCGGATCACAGGGATGCAAGGCCTCGGATCGTGGGGTAAACGTACTCGGAACTCCGCTTCAACATAATCAGAGTCCCGTAGCTGTAATTAACTGCACTACACACGAACTGCCGCGTGAGGCCACCACGAGCTTACATACACATGATGCCTGTTTGAGCCACTCCCGGTTGCCTTGTGAAGGGGGCTTATAAGCTGTAACGTGCATTTCGCAAAAGTTTCGTCAATTCGCAGCTGGCTAAATGGATTCGCAGGTGCTTATATAAAGGATCTGTAACCTTATCCGTTGACATTTTGACTTCAGTCTCTTCAGTTTGACTTCGGTCTATTCGTTGCTATTGGTTCATAACCATGCGACGCGCTTGTAACGTGGGTGCAACAGGCTGGGGAAAAAACCTCAGGTGCAGCATTTCCATACGGTGCAGAGCACATTCGCGTGCATGGGGTGGGCATCACCTGTATCCCATCTTTCCCGATCCCTACGCAACAACCCAGCCCAGTCACACCCTAAACTGGCCAGATTCCGAAGTCCAGAGAGGTGGAAAGCATTTTGGTGCGTACAGTATTAGTGAGATGCAAGCGTGGTGCAGTGTGGTTAGGGTTCCAACCCAGATCCATTCCCGTATGGACCCGCCTGAAAGCTTGATCAAGAAGTAGTCTAGCCGGCTTCGCCCTGACTTGTTATGGTGGGAGGATACCTGACAGGAATGGAAGTATTATTGAAACCGCAGACGCTAAAATCATTTTTCTCCTATCGCGCCGAGATGCTGCCATCACCGCAAGTTTTGCTCGTTTTCTCAAGCCGCTTGCTCTCACCGCACTTCTCTCCATGCCACACGCGAACCAATCATCCGCTACTCCTAGCGGGAAATCGTATAGCGAGTCTTCGCTTGCTGCGTCCCTGCTTAGAGGCACAAATCCAAATCAAACATCCAGTCGGCTAAATCATTTTGGCATCAGGGACCGCCTCATCGTCGTTCTTCGCGTGCTTGTGGTAACCACGCACTTCCTCTCGCTCGTCGCCGTCGCCAATGCTGCCGTGCCAACATGCGCCAGCCTCGCAGCTCAAGGTAGTACCCATTCTTGCGGCCTCACAGAGCTCTCTCGAAATCACGTGGTGCTGTCGACGGCGAGAACATCCGCAACCGAAACCAATCACGTGGTTCCGCAAGCAGCAGCGAACCGCGGCCGCCGCCATCTGCGAGCGTCGCGCCTTCTTCGCGGCATTCCGTTGCCGCCTTCCGCCTCTGCGCCTCTAAATCCCGTCCCGCTCCGCTCTACCCCCGTCTAGGCCTTCCTTGCTGCACTAGCACCTGCCGCCCAGCTCTGTGCACTGACCCACGCCTTCTGTAACGCATCGACCTACTTCTCGCCTAACTCCCTAGCTAACAACCTAACACTCAAAGGCATTCGTCGAGATTGCTCTCGATAGTTATTGGGCCATGAGTGAGTGAAGGTTGAGTTGGGAGAGAAAGGGTTGGGTTGGGAATTCCAAACCTCAACCAATAGGTTTGGGAAATTCCAACCCATCAAAGTGGAATGTTGAAGGTTGGATTTCTAACCAATCAGAAACTGCCAATTCAGTGTAACAATCTACTCTATCTTAAAAACAACCATTCAATGGTTCTAGGTTGGGTTTTCCCAACCCAACTAATTGCCACATAGGCTCCAAGCCTAGGAACCATCCCACCATGGAAACCATGGTTGGGATAGTTCCCCAAGGGGTGTATTGAGGGGGTCTGAGCTAAGCAAGCTCATTCTCAACCTCCCACTCCAACTAAACAATTGGAAATGGGATTATTTGACTAAGTCATTTTGGCTCTCTCACAAGCTTCCTTACACTACTATTCCAAGTGTTTCCCATCAAAGGCATCAAGAAGATCTTCATCTCCAAGGCTATTAAGGCTAGTTAGAGCTACTATTTTGTGTTGGAATATTCTAAAAAGCCTTGTAACCGCCATTATAATAGTCTTGGGGCATTACATTGGTATCTAGAGCAAGGTTCTTCCTTGGCCTTGTGTGGCCATTTGCTACTTGGATATTTTTTTTAGAGGATCCTAGATTGTGGATCTAGGATTTTATCCAAGGAGCTGTGAAGATTTTGAAGAAATTTCAAGATCTACAACTGTTTCTTCAAGATCTACAAAAGCTTCTCCAAAGATCTACAAACTCCAAGCTACAACTACTTCAACTCTTCATTGGAGTGCAAGATCTGCAAGGAGCTTCTTCTTCTTCATCAACATAGAGAAGAAATTTGAAGAGATTAATTTCTCTTACCCACCTTTGGTGGAAGACTCTTGATCTACCTTGGGTGGAAGAGTGTACCTTCAGATCTAAAAGGACTTGTTGAGGATTACTCTCTTGAGTATATCTTGCTCTATCATTGAGGTGATAGAGAGATTTGGCAAACAAGTCTATCTTAAGAGATTCTGTATTGGATTATTCTATAAGAGTAATCAGATTTCTTAAAGATTTTTATAAGATCTGTTGAGATCTCCTCTCCTTAACCTGTTTCATGGCTTCTGGTCAAGAGATGGATGCTACTAAGGAGGTGCCCGTTGCTGGCAATGAGGGGGATAATGCTGCTGCTGCTGCTGCTGACATTGATCTCAACCTTGAGGATTTCGTGGTTGACATGGAGATCAATGGAAGTGAAGCTGACCTTGAGGCTGATGCTGAAGATGAGGATGAGGCTGGCTCTGATGAGGGTGTCTCTAACGAGACTGAGAACATTGCTGTCAAACTCCAGACTCAACTCACGGAGCAGAATATTCTCATTGGAGTGCAACAGTGCCGTATCCAGAACTTGGAGGCTGATTCTGTTAAGCTTCAGGCCTTGATTGAGCAGCTGACCAGGGAGGTACAGTTGATCCCTAAGGAAAACGACACCTCCAGCTTCATTCAGGACCTGCAGACCACTCTCCAGTTTGTGCAGGATCAGCTCAAGAAGCAAGAGAAAAACATCTCTGTGCTTCAGGCTCAGTACAGGGAGATCCGGCGTGGCAACCTCTATCAGCCTGCTCCTGCAGCAGAGCGAGTCGCCAATGCCGCTAACAGCCATGCTGCACCTGCTGCTGCACCTCCTGCTGTTCCTCCTCCTTCTGGAGCACGTGCTGAGCCTCCTGCTGCAGCTGCAAATGCCATTGGCTCCTGCCCTTCGGCCCTGCCTTGTTTTGTCCATGGCAAGACCGACGTCGAGACTTGGCTTTCCATTGCGGAGGACTTTATGTCCATCCACAATGTGCGTAGCGAGGCTCGCGTGGTCGCTGCAACCCTTGCCCTGGACGACACTGCGAGCAAGTTGGTGTATGCCAACAAGCGCCACGCAGAGGCTAATGGTCATCCTTTTGGCTGGGAGGAGTTCAAAGCTGCCATGTTGGCGGCATTCCTGAGTCAGCCCCCGGCGCTCGAGGTGCGTAGCCGCCTGGAGAACATCCAGTGCGGTGACCAGCCTGTACGCGAGTACGCCAAGGAGTTTGAGAAAACTCTGTCGCTGCTGAAGACTGCTCTTCCTGAGAGCGAGGTCATCCACCAGTTCTTCAAGGGCCTCCCTGAGCACATCAAGCGTGTGCATGTTGTGCGCGGGGAGCACCAGTGGAGGACCTACAAGGAGTGCAAAGAGCAGGTCATAGATACGGATGTGAATTTCCGTGCGTACATGACTCACGCTCGTGCTCAGCAGCAGCCTAGTGCCGAAGGCCCTAGGGGGGGTGGTAACAGGACTCAGGCACACAGGGACGGTGGCTCTTGGAAGATGCCCTATCAGCAGAGGGGGGAATCCTCTGGGACTCAGTCCAAGAGGGCCCATGCTGGGCCTGCCAAGGATCCTCAGGATGAGGATAAGCCCCCGGCGGGCTGTCGCATCTGTGGCAAGCTCGGCCACAAGTCCTATCACTGCCGTTGGAGGAAGTCCGTTAAGAACTCCGACAAGCCCAACCAGGGCAAGAAGCCGGATGGTTCTGGCCATTCGGGCCCGAAGGATTTTCCGAAATCCAACTAGGGGGTGGGTACCTAGTTGGTGAGCGAGATCGAGTAGATGAGGCTTATGTCCTTCGTGATGAGGATTTGCTAAAGCTAGAGAAGCTTGCATCATGCAAAATCGCTTGTTTGTATGCCTCTTCTATTAATGAAAAATCTGTTTTTAAAACTCGATCGTACCCACTTGAAAACATCTCAATTGAATCCTTGAGAGATAAATTTTCAATCATCTTTTGCTCGTTCAACGAGTTGCCAGCAATCATGGATATTGTGGACCGTTGTGTCCAAGAGCACCCACTCACATCAGTGGGATTGGTGACTCGAATCGTGAGAGGAGAGTTGTTCCGTCGATTTCACGAATGGCATATCCTGGCAACATGGGACAAAGGGCACCATGTTTGGTGGACCACATCCCAAAGGTTTGGACGTGCTCACAACAAGTTTAGGGTGTACTTTCGACCTCCTAAACTTGTTGTTGCTTGTCCCATCCGTCCAAGATTCCAACAGAATTTACTATTATCTGGACGCATGAATGGGGATGAAGCAAGGATTCTCGTCGATACAGGCGCGTCGGTCTCCCTTGTTGATGAAACTTGGGTCACGAAACGCAACGTCCTCGTTGAAGGACCGTCATGTCCCATCCGCTTGGGTGACGATCGTGTCATTCCAAGTAAAGGACAGACACATATCGACATGAATGTACTGGACTATAGCGAAACAGTTCGCGTGTATGTCCTACCACTTTTGTCAGGTGTCGACCTCATCCTGGGCATGGATTGGTTGCGAGCCAATGAAGTCATTCTGGACTTCCAGTACAACATTGTCTCGTTCAACAAGAACGGAAGGGCAATCCAGTGGCAAGTCAATGATACTTTGCCCACTGAAACACAGACGCCTGAACGTCCCAGCGTGCTGTGTGTGTTGGCCAATCAGTTCGAGCATTCTCTTAAGTCGGCTGATACACTGTTCGTGGTACAGCTTGAGAATACTGAGGCCTCGGAGCCAGCAATTGAGGATTTCCCTCCTCAGATGCAAATACTGGCAGAGGAATTTAAGGAAGTTTTTGAAACCATCCCTGATGGACTTCCGCCTGACCGCGCAGTGGGTCACACCATCCCTGTTGAACCAGGAAAGGTTCCACCCTTTCGACCTCTGTATCGCCTCAGTCCAGCTGAGTACGAAGAGGCCAAACAACAGATCGAGGAATACCTCAGAAAAGGATGGATTGAACCCAGTGCATCCCCTTATGGAGCACCGATTTTGTTCGTTAACAAGAAGGGCGGAGGATTACGCATGTGCGTAGATTATCGTGCCTTGAACAAGATTACGGTGAAGAACAGATACCCTTTACCACGTATTGAGGATCTGTTTGATAGGCTCCAAGGAGCTCAGTGGTTCAGTGCGCTGGACTTAGCTCAGGGGTATCATCAGCTGCGCATCACCGAGGAAGATGTTCCTAAAACGGCTTTTCGAACGCCGTTTGGACATTTTCAGTGGCGTATGTTAAGTTTTGGCTTGACAAATGCTCCCGCGTCATTTCAGCGCGCAATGAATGATGTGTTTCGGGAGGCAATCGGCCAATTCGTCCTAGTATACTTGGATGACATCCTCGTGTACTCGAAGACCGAAGAAGAACACACGCAACACCTGAAATGGGTGTTAGGAAAACTGCGAGAGCATAAATTCTTTGCTCGGTTGTGGAAGTGTCACTTCTACAAACGCGAGTTAGAATACCTTGGTCACTTGGTAGGCAACGATGGCCTCAAAGTTGATCCAAAGAAAGTGGCGGCAGTCCAACAGTGGCCCGTTCCACAGGACGTGGGACAGGTCAGGTCATTCCTTGGACTTGCGAACTATTTTCGCCGCTTCTTGGAAAATTATTCCTCCGTAGTCGCTCCACTGACTGCCCTCACTCGTAAGGGTAATGCTTGGCAGTGGACCGATCAATGCCAGAAGGCATTTGAGGAGGTGAAAACCATGCTGACCAATGCTCCAGTGCTGGCTTTGCCAGACCCGTCCAAGCCCTACGAGGTGGTAACTGATGCCTCGACAGTAGGGATTGGAGCAGTTCTTTTGCAGGAAGGACGCTCCGTGGCATTTGAGAGTAGAAAGCTTTCACCGGCTGAGCAGCGCTATACAACTTCCGAACAGGAATTGTTGGCAGTTGTGCATGCGCTACGAACATGGAGATGTTATCTCGAAGGTGTTGACTTCGTGGTCACAACCGACCACTGTCCGAACACCTATTTTGCCACTCAAGCCACACTCACCCGCCGTCAAGCTCGATGGGCTGAACTCCTCAGTGGGTTCACCTATGATATTCGATATCGAGCGGGCTCGACAAACATGGCTGATCCTCTGAGCAGACAGCCGATTGGTGCAGCAACGGGTGTTGATGATAATGAACATGAAGCAGTGTTTGCTGCTTGTTTCAACATCCTCGCAGCTGCTCGAGTGAGTGAGATTGCCTTTGGTGGTTTTCTGAAACGCATTCGCGTAGGGTATGATATTGACCCTTGGTTTCGGAACCCACAGAATACAAAGGATCTCTTGTGGGAGCATGAGCTCTGGTGGCACAAGAAAGAAATTGTTGTCCCACATGTGGGAAACCTGCGGAATGATATTCTAGCAGAGGTGCACGCCACTAAGTATGGAGGACACCTGGGTGTCAAGAAAACCCGGTGGGCCCTCAGTGATGTATACTGGTGGCCGGGATTGGGCATTGAGGTCCAGCAGTTTGTAACTCGCTGTGACACGTGTGCACGGAACAAGCCGAGCACACAGAAGCCTGGTGGTTTGCTTCAACCACTTGAGATTCCCGATGAACCTTGGGAGAGTGTATCGATGGATTTTATCACTGATCTCCCCAAGACGCGAGATGGTCATACGGCGATATTAGTGTTTGTAGATCGTTTGACCAAAATGGTGCACTTCGTGCCCACGACGACTGACGTGTCTGCAGAGGATACGGCAAAGTTGTTTGTGACGCACGTTTTCCGCTTACACGGTTTGCCTCGTGTGATGGTGTCTGACCGAGACCCGCGCTTCACAAGCCGATTCTGGCAAGAGGTCATTAAGACACTAGGAACGAAACTCAAGATGTCGTCTGCTTTCCACCCACAAACGGATGGACAGACAGAGCGGAGCAACCGCACTCTTGAACAAATGCTTCGTTCTTTTATAAGCCCAACTCAGGACGATTGGGATGAATTGTTGCCAGTCGTAGAATTCGCTGTAAACAATTCTGTGCATGAAAGCACCCATGAGAAACCCTTTGTCCTGAACTGTGGTCGGCACCCCACAACCCCTGCGACGCATGGGATTAAGAGCCTCAAAATCCCCGCCGCGAAGGACTTTATTGGAAAGCAGCAAGCGGCATTGAAGTCCGCTCGTCACTGGCTACAGCTTGCCCAACAGAGGCAAAAGTCCTATGCCGACATGAAACGCCGGGAAGTCGTCTTTGCAGTTGGCGACAAAGTATTACTGAGCACGAAGAATATTCGTCTCAAGATCCCGGGAGCACGAAAGCTCTTCCCTCGTTGGATTGGGCCCTTCGAGGTGATTGCGCGAGTTGGTGAGGTCGCATACAGGCTCAAGTTGCCTGCGACATTGCAGATTCACAACGTCTTCCACGTGTCTCTGTTGAATAAGTATGTTGCAGAAGGCAAGTACTTACCACCACCAACCATCGTTCTCGGGGAGGAACTCTTTTATGAAGTCGAACGTGTGCTAACGCACCGTAATCGACAACGCGGCCGCAAAACAGTTCGTGAGTTCCTAATTCAGTGGAAAGGCTATGGGCCGGAACACAACTCTTGGGAGCCTGAGGAACACTTGACCGAAGCAGCGGTTCAAGCGTATATGGAAGACCTGGCTCTACGAGCAGGCCTACAACCAGTGGACGGGGTTGACCCTGGTCGTAATGTGGTGCGCCGGGCTCGAAGCGCTCGTCCTAAGAAGCACCCTAGGGCAACGGGGACGTTGCCACCTGGGGGGGGAGGAGTGTAACGCATCGACCTACTTCTCGCCTAACTCCCTAGCTAACAACCTAACACTCAAAGGCATTCGTCGAGATTGCTCTCGATAGTTATTGGGCCACGAGTGAGTGAAGGTTGAGTTGGGAGAGAAAGGGTTGGGTTGGGAATTCCAAACCTCAACCAATAGGTTTGGGAAATTCCAACCCATCAAAGTGGAATGTTGAAGGTTGGATTTCTAACCAATCAGAAACTGCCAATTCAGTGTAACAATCTACTCTATCTTAAAAACAACCATTCAATGGTTCTAGGTTGGGTTTTCCCAACCCAACTAATTGCCACATAGGCTCCAAGCCTAGGAACCATCCCACCATGGAAACCATGGTTGGGATAGTTCCCCAAGGGGTGTATTGAGGGGGTCTGAGCTAAGCAAGCTCATTCTCAACCTCCCACTCCAACTAAACAATTGGAAATGGGATTATTTGACTAAGTCATTTTGGCTCTCTCACAAGCTTCCTTACACTACTATTCCAAGTGTTTCCCATCAAAGGCATCAAGAAGATCTTCATCTCCAAGGCTATTAAGGCTAGTTAGAGCTACTATTTTGTGTTGGAATATTATAAAAAGCCTTGTAACCGCCATTATAATAGTCTTGGGGCATTACACCTTCCCATCCCTTTCCCCGGCCTTAATTGCTTCACCCCACTTTCTCTGCCATATATTGCCACCTATCCTCCCCATCTCGTTTTTTTATTTTCAATCCGCAGGAGATGCACATGCGTCGTCACATTCCCCCCTCCCCTTATAAATCCCCTCCCTACCCTCCCTTCCTTCCCCCCCTCCCTCCCACGTCATCTCTCCTCCCCGCCTCACCCTCCCCACCCACCTCCTCTCCCCAACCTCCCAGCTCCCTCGTTGAACCTCCTGCGCAATGCGGGCTTCGAGGAAGTGTCCAACGCAGCAGGCTGGCCGTCGCCCCTGTCGTCCTGGGTGCCGCTCGTCCCCGGCGCAGCAGGGCAGCAAGGACAGGCGGCGGAGGGGATACAGGGGCAGGGGGAGGTGGCGGGGGAGGGGGGAGGGGGAGGGGATGTTCCGCCCGGGGACCCGTCCGTTGCTGCTGAGGGCGGTCGGTTCGTTCGCCTGCAGCCCAGCGACGGCAGTGGCGGCACCGGTGGCGAGCTTTGGGGCAGCGGGGCGAGCGAGAGTGAAGGGGCAGTGTGGCCGGTGCAGGGAGTGGGGCAGCTGCTGTGTGTCGTAGACGGGGGAGAGCAGCAGCAGCAGCAGCCGCTGGGGGAGTTTTCGCTGTATTTCTATGCGAGGGCACGCGAGTGCATGATGGATATGTCTATTGCCGCTGGAGTGCGGCCGATGCGAGCAATGATCGTCGCCGTGCCCCTGCCACCAACACCAGCCACCGCCACTGTCAGCAGCACTGGCAGCAGCTTTAGCAGCAGCAGCAGCAGCAGCAGCGTGGACGAGGGCGACCTGCCCAGTGCGCTAGCAGCCGCGATGAGCAGCGGAGAGATGGTGGTGCTGCATCAGTGGACCGTGGGCGTTCCCTTTCGCAACAACTCCTCTCTCTCGGGACTCCTGCCCTGGCGCCAGCACGGGCCCTTCTCCTTCCACCTCCCACCCTCCTCCGCCTCCGCCGCTGCTCTATCCTTCCCGCCGCAAGGCGTGGCTCTGCACCTCGTGCTGCTGGAGGGAAAGGAGGCGGACAGCAGCAGTACGCCCTCTAGTGGTTCTGTGGAACTGCCTGTTCCCATTGACGTGCCCGTTCCCTTACCTCCGACCTTGCCTGGGAGTGCGTCCGTGTCTGGGGGTGCTTCCGTGCCTTGGGGTGCGACTGTAGCATCAACAGCAGCGGTGGAAGGCGGGTCACTGACGTCGGCGGCAGCGGCAGCGGGGAGCATCGATGTGGATCTGATCACGGTGGCTCCCAGAGGCACAGGTGCGCACAGAGGCACAGGTGCGCTCAGAGGCACAGGTGCGCTTAGAGGCACAGGTGCGCTCAGAGGCACAGGTGCGCTCAAAGGCACAGGTGCGCTCAGAGGCACAGGTGCGCTCAGAGACACAGGTGTGATTCCTGAGATCACAGGTGCTCGCTCCATTCACAACAGGTAGGTTGGACTGGCATGATAGTCTTGAGCATTCTGCGAGCACAGTGTGAGTGAGTCGACCCACACAAGCCGTTGGTCACACTCACAACGGACTCTGTATTCTTGGAGCTCCTTTCTTTTCCAGATTGTCCACCTCTTTCTCTACTTTGCTCATGCCCAAACACATTTCCGATTCTCACCTTTCTCATTCCTTTACCCCCCCTCCCTCCCCCCCTTTTCATTTCCCGCCTCCCCTCAAATTCCAGCGGCCTCCGCCCCTCCGTCCTTCTCCTACTCCCCATTAACCTCCTCCTCTCCCCTCCTCACCTCCGGCTCGGCTCGCCTCCTTTCCTCCTCGCTGCACCTCACCCCCCTCTCTCCCCCCCACCAAGCGGGCCTTGCCCTGCACCCCACGCCCTTCCCCCTCGTCTCCCCCGCCTCCCCCACCTCCCCCTGCCGCCCCTACTCCTTCTCCTCCTCCTTCTCCTTCCGTCTCTCCTCCCCCCAATCCGCTGCTGCTCTCGGGGCCGACGGCTTTGCTTTCGTTCTCCTGCCCGACCCGACCGTCGGACTGCCCGGGCCAAACATGGGATACGGCAGGAGGCCTTACAGGCAGGAGGAGATGTTTGTGGAGGTGGAAGGGGGGGAAGAACAATTGTGTGAGGTAGAGAACGGGGCCGTTACATGCACCACGATTGGCGGCAGCAGCGGCAGTAGCGTCACCGTCAACAGCAGCCTGCCACATCAGCACAGCCTGGCAGTGGAGTTTGACACGTCATCAACCCGTCTGTTTTCGGACCCAACCACTCACCACGTGGGGGTGGACGTGGATTACAGCATGACGTCAGCAGGCCATGCGTGTGTGCACCCCGTGGGCATCCCCTGGCTGGGCGGCAACGAGACGCTGCATGCGTGGGTGGCCTACAACGCCACCGCCTCGCTGCTCTCCGTGCGCCTCTCCTCCTCGCCCGCCATGCCCCCCTCCGCCCTCCTCTCCCTCCCCTTCAATGCCTGTGACCTCTTTCACTCCCCTCCGAAGGAGGACGGCGGGGAGGGGGAGGCCGTGTTGGTGCATGCAGGGTTTGCAGCCGGCACGGGGCTGCTGCCGCTGCACACTCAGACGCACGACATCCTCTCCTGGGCCTTCCAGGTCGATACCCAAGGTGAGTGAGAGAGGCAGGAGCCAGGGAACGGTTTGTGGTAGCCAAGAGTCAAGGTGTGTAGTGCTGGCAGGCAGAGCAGACTGGGCAAGGTGTGTAGAGCCAAGAAAGATCCAAGAGTCGAATGAAAGGGTTATGTGTCATTCATTTTCCGACCATTCATCCTATAATCTCCTCTTCAGCCCCTCCACTGTTGCATGTGTGGCTGACGTCCTCTTTCCTCTCCGCTACCGGCTCTGTGTGTTGCCCGGTGCACGACATCCTCTCCTGGTCCTTCCACGTGGACAACCACAGTGAGATGGAGTGGAAGGAGATGGAGGAGGTGTGGGGCAAGGGGGGAACGGGGGGAAGGGGTTGGTGTGGCGTGTGATATGTTCTCCATCCCCTTTCCCAGTCGTGTCAAGAGTAGTGTGTGGTGCCCTCCCCCGCTCAAGGTTCTCCTACTACCAAATCCCTCCGCTCATCTGTCCCCTCCCCCTTCGCTTCAACCTTACTTACTCCTACATGTTTCCTTCCTCACTTACTTTCCCCTTGTGCTCCCTGCACCCCTCCTTCCTCACTTACTTTCCCCTTGTGCTCCCTGCAACCCTCCTTCCTCACTTACTTTCCCCTTGTGCTCCCTGCACCCCTCCTTCCTCACTTACTTTCCCCTTGTGCTCCCTGCGCCCACACCCTTCCCCCCCAGCGCCCACTCCTCTCCCCGTGTGGCAGCCGCAGTCGCTCGTCTTGCCCTTCCTCACACCAGCCGCGCCTTTCACTACCTCGGGTGCAGCTCGCCTCGGCTTCTCCTCGCTGCAACTCACCCCGGGCAACCAGGACCAGGAGGCAGGCGCTGCCTTCTTCCCCCTCCCCCTGCCCCTGCTCTATGTGGGCATATACGCTCTGGACAGCGAGCGTCCAGCGTATATGCGCTAGCGTCCGTACGCTGGATGCTAGATGCTCGTCGGACGCTGGACGCTCGGCCAAAATTTTTTGGGGCAGCCCGGGAAGAAAAATTGACCGTCGAAATTTTAAATCGCGATTTCAAATCGAAATTTGAAATCGCGACTTCAAATCTTTTTTTTTTTTATGACATTTTCTCTGGAAATGTATGGTGTTGTGGCGGGTACCCCCCTTTCCCCCCTCTCCCCCCTCTTTTTTTTCCCCCTGCCCGGAATTTTTTTCCCCTGCCCGGCCCAAGCGTCCAGGTCCTGACATCCGAGCGTCCAGCGTATATACGACAGCGTCTGGACGCTGGCGTATAGGACGCTGGACGCGTCCATGTCCACATAGCCCCTGCTCTTGCTCCTCCTCATCCCTGCCCCTCGCAAGGGGAAGAATGGTGGAAAGACTGATGCACTGGTGTGCAAGGCTCGGTCCTTCACCTCGTGGTTTGCTTTTGAGCTCAAGGGAAAAGAGACCAATGGGTTTGGGGTGGTTTTCGTGCTACGGCCAGGGGTGGGTCAAGGAGGGACGGACATGGGATACGGCCGGGAGTCGGACAAGAGGGATGCGAATGGGACATGGGCGGATGGAGGGAGGAGTATGGAGGTGATGTTTGATGCCTTTGGCGGCCTTGACCCTAAATATGCCATTTACAAGGATGTGGCGATTCTCTCCATTCACACTGACTTTAACGTGACACGAGGGCTGACTTTTTCGTCTCAAAAGAGATACACTTCATCCTCGTTATACAGCACGAGGGTGGACTATACGGCTGCCACTAAGACTCTAGAGGCAGTGACTTATAAAGAGGCTACGAGGATGGGGAGTGTGAAGCAGACTCTTGACCTGTGCTCTGTGTTCTATGATGGCAATAGCAGCACTGAGGGAGTGATTCCGGCGTTTGCTGGGTTCAGCAGTGCCAGCACGCAGGCATGCGTTCAGTTCATCAAAGCGTGGACCTTCCGATTCACAGGTGTGTGTGTGAAGGGTCTGGGTGAGTGCCACGCGTCTGTGTGTGAATGTGTGCATCTGTGGCTCGAAAGTGTATGTGCTGTGTATGGGCCATTGAAGCATGTATCTGCGTGAATGTCTCAGGTGTGTGTGCCTGAATGCATCTGCGCCTGTAGATGCATGCATCTGTGCATCTGTGCATCTGTGCATCTGTTCATCTTTGTCTGTGTGCACATGCACACTTGCTTTGGTCCCAATATCCATGTGCCACATTCGTGAGAATATGCTATGTTGGAAAAGAACAGTATGGTACCAAGGGGAAATACAGTTGCAGTCGACATTTGGGTTTGTGCAATTTGTACACACATTTTTTTTTAGATGGGTTGCCTAACCGAGCGTACCGCATATCACGAATCTCCGGATACACACTACCATACGTGATTCTTTTCTTGCCCTGAGTGTTTTTTCCAACATAGATCATATGCTCGCAATTATGATTCGTTATCAGTGACTGATCGTGCTTGCACCACAAGATTCATGCATCCGTTTGTATTGAATCGCTAAGAGGGAACAACGCATCCATTTATTCACTCAAGAGTGATTCCACTCCAATCATAATGTTTTCATACCCTTCTTGCTCCTCTGTTCAGCGCTTTTCCCCTTTCGTCCATCATCTTCTCCTCCTTGTCTCTCCTTGTCTCTCCTCTCCTCACTCCCCATGCCACACAGACGTCAACCCATGCACGGCATGGGACGTGAATCCATGCGGTGCTGGCAGGTGCACTGCGGTGAGGTCAGCAGCCACAGGCACATACACCAGCACGTGCTCGTGCCCTCTCAGCCAGCCCAGCTACAAGCTCCCCCAAATGCCCGCCTTCCAAACATGCTTCAACGGTAAGCTTTGCTGGTTATAATGGTAAGTCCACACAGCCATCACCACATAGTGCACAAGGTCATTGACAAGGGTAAATCCTGATTAAAATTATGTCTCATCAACACGAGCTCGTGCCCTCTCATTTCAGCCATTGCAGCTGCAACCCCTTCAAATTTTGCCACATCCAAAACTCTTCAACGTTCATAACACAGCACAATCAATCAACCAGCACATTGATACTTCCTTCCGCTTTCGCCAGCTAAGTGCCTGCACTTCTAACCGTTTCACTCCCCACTTACCATTTCATCGCCTCCCACCCCATTCACTGTAGTACTCTGTATTTTCCCCCCACTTGCCATCTCATCGCCTCTAACCTCTCTAAATTCCTCTCCACCTTTTCAACGTCCGTCCAGAGTTCCCCATCTGTCGCCTTAACAGCACTGACACGTGTGCGCCTGGCGTGTGCCTGGAGGGCTATGATGCCTCCTCCTTCTGCCTCTGCCCGCCCTCCTTCTTCCCCCTCGACTACTCTAACCCCCTCAAGCAACCCTGTAACCAAGGCACACTAACCTCTCCCCAACATTACCCTGTAACTCATCTGAATCACTTCAATCAACTGCTTGAAGCGATCATATGGCCTCTCAAGGTTGGAAATCACCTTACCTGCTTTCTGCCCGCCCGGTTTTTTTACCCTGACTTCAACTTCATAGCTAGCTTTTAACCTAGACTTTAACCTAGCTTTTAACCTAGCTTTTAGCCTAGCTTTTATCGATGTGATTTCTGAGTTGACTCGAACACACCTGAGGTGAGGAAGATTCTCATCGTTTCCTGTCTTTTGCCTACACCAGCAGCACTTGCTTGCGCACCTGTGCTGCTGAATTGGCATGTGTTCTGATGGTTGCCTGCAACAATAAATGACCCATTTTGCTTGTAAACCGACTCACCTGCAATGTTGCGAGTGCTGCTGGACTAGCCTCGCAAGGATACTTTGTAACTTTGGTCAGTCGAGAGATCCTTCGTTAATTTTATCTCCTATGTATGCACACCTGTGCATCGACTGCACAAGAGGGCCTCTACTACTCAGTAACCAAGGTAAGTCTCTCTAAGTTCGCGAGGCCAGGATGGGCAAGGTGTATTCTGCTTCTAGTCGCCCATCCTGCCCATCATGTTAACCCTGAGATTTCTTCTTTATACCCCACCTTGTCATCTAGCTCACAGCTAGGCACGTAAAAATTCCACTGATCCCTACCTCCCTCTTGTCTTCACCTTGAGCTTCGCACCCCACATCAGCTAAGAGGCTTGTTCCTATGATATCCCTACTCACAAAGCACCTTCCACACCAAATTGTAAGGCTACTTCTTTCTAGGCGCTTCAATTGAGCGCTGCTCTTCCTATGATATCCCTACTCCCATCGCACACATATTCTCTCCTCTAGGTTCCACCTCTAATCACTATGTTAGGGAGCCCATCACCGTACCATCCTTCTTGTCGCCGCCCACTTTATGCGATTTCCCTCTACCCGCTTTGCTGGAACCCTTTCTACTCTCCCCCTGCCCCCCGCTCCCCCCACGCCCCTTCTTCTACCAATGACTGCCTTGGTCTTGTGGGGCCCATCGTCCCGGCTCGGCAGCCTCACTTGCCCTCTGCTCGAAAGCTTTCAGCTCTGGCTTCTTAACCTCCGGCCCCCCTTGCCTATCTCTCCTCTCTCCCTTTCTCCCCATACCCCCCTTTCTGCCTCTCTCCCTTTTCTGTCCTCTGTCCTTCAGTGAGTGAGTCTGCTACTCGAGTGCCATTCTTCCCAGCACCCCCCGGCCTCACATGCCCTCTGCTGCTCGACATCTTTGACCTCTCACCTCAAGAGCTGCTGGGGAGCAACAAGGTGAAGCTTGCTGATGAGGTCAGGTGTGTTGATGAACACCCCTCGCTTACACATGGGCATGCGCGTCGATTTTCTACCCAACTCGAGTTCCTACCCGACCAGAAACTTTGAGTTACGTAGTTATTTTTTTCCCAATAAAACTCAACCGTGTTCAGTACAAGTGTTGATCACATGTATCTATATAAAAAAAAAGCACAGGAAAAAAACAAAAGGCCAATCTGGTCGTGTTTTCTTAACTTGACATCGGTAGCTGGGTTTGCTGCTGATGGCATGTGCTGGCAGAGACTTACGGTATTGCCCCTTCAACAATCACCAGAAAATTCAGTCGGTGTGATGTTGCGCTGTTCTCTTTCATGGTGCCTTGACAGGGCATGGCATGTGACAAGCCCATACCTCGTGGCTTGATATAGTCAACGTGTGGGCATCTGCCAACAAGAACTGCACTAGCATGTATACCACCAACCAGGTGAGGCATGTGTAGCACCAACCAGGTGAGGCACGAACGGGTGCCCTTTTCACAAACATGTGCACCACCAACCTGGTGAGACACCCTTCATCCCTCCCCACCTGCACTCACACACACCCATCTCTTCCCCCCGACCCACCCCAGGGTGACACGTGCACGTCAATCAACAGCATCCTTGACACCAACATAACACACCTGAACCGTAACATTGACTGCTCACAACCTCTCGTCCCTGGAAAGGTCAGATCGCCCCCAAATCGCGCTCCAATCCCTTCCCTTCCCAATGCTTTTGTTTTCTGGGCTCTTTGCTCTTTAGTTCATACGCTTTTGTAGAAGCCACCATTACTTTGTCTTTTTACCCCGCATACTCCAGCAGATAGTTTTGCTGCCTTATTCCTTTGAATATTCAAGAGATGAAGGTATATTTCTGCTAAGTTGGTAAAGCTCTAGTTTGTCTCGCAATAGGGTGCCTAACGTCCTTAGCTTCTTATGTCACCTCGAGGTGCCTTAAACACTCAAGCCGTGATACAGCTGACTATTGAGGGCATACCTTTCGCTCCAGGGGAAATGAACCTTGTTCAAGCCCCTCTCCCTCCCCCTCCCCCGTTGCATCCCCATCCTCCCTGCAGCGCGTGTGTGTGGAGAACAGCACCAACACCCCCACCTTCCCCGTGGCGGCCTGCACGGATCACAAGGCTCTCGAGCCCGGCCTGCACACGTGCCAGCAGGTCGCGGCGTTCGGCTACGGGTGGAGCCGCATGGGCTACTCTCCACTACCACTTCCCCCTCCCCATCCTCTTCCCCCTTCCCATCCCCCTTCCCATCCCCCTTCTTCCACCCCCCCCCCCTCCCCCCCCCCACTCCCCCTCCTGCTCCCCCTCCCCCGTTGCATCTCCATCCTCCCTGCAGCGCGTGTGTGTGGAGAACAGCACCAACACCCCCACCTTCCCACCTGCACACGTGCCAGCAGGTCGCGGCGTTCGGCTACGGGTGGAGCCGCATGGGCTACTCAAAGACCTTCCGCATCAACCCCGCTCTCTACTGCGACCACCTGCTGCCCAGTGCAGCTGGGTGGGACGACTCTGTTCTCGACAGGGTGAGCGCATTTGGCTTGCACGTGAAAGCTAAGTCTTTCTGACATGTCGAATGCTTTTGAGCCTTTTTGAACCGGTCTCAAAGCTTCCTCACTCTTTAGTGCCACCACCTGCTGCCCGGTGCTGCTGGCTGAATCTGCTGTTCGCTCCACGCTGAGGGTGCTTACTCCATGTGTACGTGCTGTTATGGTTTTGGTGTGGGCCTTTGCTAGGATTTCAGACATCCTGAGCCCTCATGGCATATTTTCTAAAAGGAAAAAAAACGTCCTGATTTTTCAGGGCAAACTTTCATGGGCATCCTGAATTTTCAGGGCACCAGCTGGATTTTATCTTGTCCTGTCAGGGCAGAGTCTTTAAAGAACCTTGATTGGTATCGTGATTGCACATGTAATCATTTTATATGGTAACACAGGCACGAGATATGTAGATAGTCTCGTGCCTTGGCCTGCCAGCTCATCAATGTGCATGCCGTCTCGCAACACAGAGGTGGTTGGAATCATTTAAGGGAACAACATCCCACCCACTTCCCCTCCCACCTCCCCACCCCCTTCCCTTCTCTTTTGTATACGCGTCAGGGCACTGCTCAATACTCATCCTGACGTTTCAGGGCAAAAAACTACGGCCTTCCTGAAAATTCAGGGCAAAACGATACAATTATCCTGAAGTTACAGGGTGAAATCTAGAATCATCCTAAAATTTCAAAGCAAACCCCGGACAGCATCCTGAAATCAGGGTAATCAGGATGTTTTACCCTGATATCAAAGGCTGCTGTTACCCTTTGGGCTTCTTATGCTGATATGCTCATGGTTGGATTGCTGAAAACAGCATCCTGGCAGTGCCCTGACACGGGTTGCATGGCATGCTGATTGCCTAAATTTGAGCTATCCTGTGATTTGACCCCTCGCACACACCAGGTGTGTTTACTAGTGGATGAGCGGCCAGGTTCCGGAGGAATTCAGTGCAAGACTCGTCGGTTATCTTGTGAAGAGAGGAGACACGTGTGGCAAGCTGATTGCGTCTCAATACAAGAAGAAAGTGAGCCTTTTGCGGTCGCTCAATGGAGGGTATGACTGTACTGTGTCGTCGATGTGGGAGGGCATGCAGCTGTGCTTGCCGTAAGCTAAGGAGCTAACGTTTCAACAGCTTTGTTCTAACCAGACTCTTACTGGCACTACTTGCTACTAGCCATAAAGGTCCAAGGGTTGTACTGTAGAAATTAGGGGTTCTCAACAACTACTTGTCTAGAACTACAGAAGCTAGGAAAGTAGCAAGATGTTGATATAGGAAAGAGGAAGAGGGGTTTCAATAGAGGGCCAAGGGGCCGAGAATTACGAGCAAAGCAAGCGCAATTTGGGGTGTACCACAGCAGGTGTAGTGTAGCTACACTAGTCTATGCTGTAGGCTGTCTACAGATATAACATAATTTTTGACATGGGATGCTGATTGTACCAACCCCCCTGTATGCCCGCTTCTGTTCATTCTTTCTCTAGTTCACACATGTTTCTGAAACATATTTCAAACATATCTATGCGAATTATGGTAGGATGCAGAGAAGATACAGTAATCATACTCGCACAAAAGCTGCTGCCGAGCAACAGTTAAGTAGATTTATGTGAAGGCTGATCTGTAAGTCTGGTTAAAGCAATGGTGCATAATCCAGCATTAGATGTTAGAATCTCAGCTTACGGTAAGCACAGCTTCATACCATCCCACAACGACGACACGGTACAGTCATACCCTCCATTAAGTGAGCGGAAAAGGTTCACTTTCTTCTTGTATCGAGATGCAATCAGCTTGCCGCAGGTATCCCCTTTCCTAACGTAGTAGAACCGGCGAGTATCGCACTGCGTTCCTCCAGAACCCGACGGCATGTCCGACAATATGCACACCTGGTGTGAGGGGTCAACCCACAAAACCACCAAAGTTCTGCCATGCACGCCATGTCGAAATGCAATCCGCAGCAACCATGAAAATACCACTACAAGATGTCCTGACATGCAACAACACCAATACCAAGACCATCGGTCACCCATGAACGAATCCATAACACCCACGAACCAGACAACCATGTTCAATGTCAAGTGCATGCTGGGCTTAGCAAGGCCCGGACGAGTCCTTGGAAGCAAAACTGGATGTAAAGCTTCCAAAATAAGAGGCAAACAACATGTATATGGTGTTGAGAACAACACCGTATGGACCCACCGTGTGGAGAACAGTCAGTCCAGCCAACAGCACCGGGCCGGGCAGCACGTGGCCTCAAACAGTCAGTCCAGCCAACAGCTGAAAAAGGTTTGCAAAGCCCAAATCATGTGAGTGTCACGTGAAATTCAAATGACCCACTCACCGAGTCGAGAACTGAGTCGTCCCACCCAGCTGCACCGGGCAGCAGTTGGTCGCAGTAGAGAGCGGGGTTGGCGAGGAAAATCTTTGAGTAGCTCATTTGGTTAAACCCGTAGCCGAGTGTGGAGAGGCGCTGGCACGTGTGCATCTCCGGATTGAGCCCGAGGTGAATCATGCAGGCCGCCACCTGGGGCGTGCGGACATCAGGGTTGTTCCGCACACATATGCGCTGCATGGATGCAGTGGGGAGAGAGGGGGAGGCAGGGGAGAGGGTAGGGGTTGGGTGAAGAGGGAGAGAGAGGGGGAGGGTGGGGTTGGGGAGAGGAGAGAGTTTTAGGTGATGAGGTGCCATGCTGAGCTACAGAGCTGGCGCTGGAAAGGTGGGGCTCCCGAGACTGTTTTTTCTGCCGCCATAAGAATTCCCTTCACAATCAGATGTCACACCCTGACCATTTAGGGCATCTCGACATTCTAACAGAATTGGCTATGGGTGGTAGGCTTAAGTTGCCATGGTAAGGCTTGCTGGCATGGTTAGCCGAACAGGGAAAAGGACCACACCAGAGAAGCGATCAGGAAGGGATCGACTTTTGAGTCGACTCAAAAGTCACCAGTGAAGTTATCAGGAAGGGATTGAAACAGGGGAGGGTTTGGGATGGGATTGGGATGGGATCTGACCTTTCCAGGAACGAGAGGTTGTGAGCAGTCAATGTTACGGTTTAGATCTGTTATGTTGGTCTCAAGGATGCTGTTGACTGAAGCACACGTGTCACCCTGGGGTGGGGGAGGGGGGGGGTTGGGTGCATGTGCGAGTGAGATGAGATGGAGAGTGGGGCTAAGTGGAGAAAGACGCGTGCAGACGCTAGCGTCGTGGCCGTTGGACGCCAACCCGTCCTTGTATAGGACGCTCAAAATACGCTGGGCCAAGCAGCGTAAATATAACTTTCGGGTAGGCCAAAAAACAAATTCAATCAGCATCAGAATCCCTCACACATAGGTAAACCTAGATTTCGGGTTTTTGAAAGAGAATCAGGTCGTAAAATAGTAAAACCGCTCCCATTCATTCGCGATTTTGCTTAGCGACCTCTCTCCCATTGGGTCACGATTTTGCGAAACTTGCACTCAGGTCGAAATCGCGAATTTCAATTTCAACGGTCGAATTACTTTTCCGGGTAGCCCAAAAATAAATTTGCAAAGCGACCTGAGTCTTCGCGTGCGTCCTGCGTCCCGCTCCGGACGCCAGCGTCCAGACCCGGGACGCTCGCTCCTCTGAGCGTCTTTCTCCACTTAGGAGTGGGGGGGGAGGGGAAGTCAATAATACGATTCCGGTCTGAACACGACTGCTTTTAAGAGAGTGTTCGGTTGGCATGCAGTGCACGTGTCACTGTGGCTCCAATATGCCGAGGTGCGTGTTGGTCAAGAATAGTGTGACGCAGGGTGCGTGGCAGGAGGAAGGGAGATGCGAATGCATGCATTTGCGAGCAGTGAATGGTGAAGGCTGCTACATTCGCCCTCAGGAACCCCATTCTGTTTTACAATGCACATGTGTCAAGGCATGATCTAGTCCGTTAACCAACAACCGACAGTGCTTCACCCTGTCATTAGAAGCAGCCAGCCATGCCTCACCTGGTTGGTGCTACACATGCCTCACCTGGTTGGTGGTATACATGCTAGTGCAGGTCTTGTTGGCAGATGCCGACACGTTGACTATCAAGCCACGAGGTATGGGCTTGTCACACGCCATGTCCTGCCGTACAGAGAGAACAACAACAGAGACCAGCGCAACATGACGTTGATTGCGAGAGATTCCATGAGAAAGGGCATTTGAGCACTGAAACAATTGAACACAAAAGGAACACTGAAATACCACTAAAGCAATTGAGCATCTATTGAGTTGATTTAAAAGCACCACTGAAACAAATGAGCATCTATACAAGGCTGAAGCACAGGCCTGTCCCAGGATCCAAAAATGAAGGGCCTTTAAATTTGATTAATATTTCTACCAGGATCGAAAGAACACATGTTTCCCTTGAAAGATAATAATTAGACATGTCTCCACTTCGAGTTTCCCAGCTTGCAAACGTTCTGCTTCTGACCTCTCTGCTCTTATAGCTCCTTGCTTGAATTGAATCTTGCAAGCAGTAGAATTATCGTATGAACGTATAATAACAAGCAAGAAGCGGCTCGGGAAACCCAGCAAATTATGGAGTGTTCAGAACATCGTCAGCTCATCATACAATAGTTTTTTTTAATCAACACACCTCACCTCATCACCATGCCTCACCTTGTTGCTCTCCAGCAGCTCTTGAGGTGAGAGGTCAAAGATGTCGAGCAGCAGAGGGCATGTGAGGCCAGGAGGTGCTGGGAAGGATGGCACTCGAGTGGCGGACTCACTCACTGGTGGACAGAGGGCAGAAGGGGAGAATGGGGAAAATGTGGGGAAGAGGAGAGGGGGAGAGAGAGGGGACAGAGGGGAGAAGGAGGGGGGGGGGGGGGGGGGGGGAGGAAAGGGCACAAAGGGAAGAGGGAGAGGGGGGGGGCGAAAGGAGGAAACAGAGGGGGCCAAAGGGCAGAGTGGGAGAGACACGGCAGATTGGGAGAGGCACCTCACAGTGCAGCAACGAGCTGAAAGCAGCGTACCATTGGAGGGCATGTGAGGGGGAGCGGCCAGTGTCATTGGTACAAGGGGATGAGGGGAGAGCAGAAGACGAGGCAGGGAAAGCGGGTGAAGGTGAGCTTCCATGGCTCGCCAGAAGTGGGAGGCGGCAAGAAGGATAACACATGAGGGACCAGAGGGTTCACTGCCTAAGTGGTGAGATGATAGGAGAGAATGGTAGTGGTGGGTGGGGGTAGCGGAGAGAATGGGAGTGGTGGGCGTGGCGGAGTGTATAGGAGTGGTGGGAGTAGCGGAGAGAGTAGGAGTGGTGGACCAGTGGTGGGAGGAAGGAGGATGGAAATAAAGCATAAGAGTAGCAAAGTGGTCAGTGAGTTGAAGAGCCTAGACAACAGCCACATTAGGCTCTGTTCGGTCGGTACTGCCACGTAAAGAAGCAAGAGTTATGCATTTACCAAGGCCCTCATATGAATGAAGGACATTGAATCGAAGCACACGAGATCCTCTTGTGCCCTCAATTCAATGCATGCACAGGAGTGCACAGGAGTGCACAGGAGTGCACAGGAGTGCACAGGAGTGTACAGGAGTGCACAGGAGATTAAATTAATGAAGGATCTCGCTCTCCTGACCAAATTTACAGAGTATCCTCACAAGGGTAGCACATCAGCACTCACAGCATTGATTGTGAGTCAGCTTACAAGCAAAAAGGGTAATTGTTGTTGCGAACACCAAAACACAAGGCATGTCAGCAGCACAGGTGCATGAGTGCTGCTGGTGAAGGCAAAGGGCAGGAAACGTTGAGAATCTGCCTCGCCTGACTTGCAGCTATGTTACAGACCGGGTTGAGTCAACTTATACAGAACTTACATCGGTTGAAGCTAGGTTGAAGAATACTTTTATAAGGTTGACGTCAGGGTTAACAAACCGGGCGGGCAGAAGCAGGTCAGATCGGTAATGAGGCTCAGATGATAGCTTCAAGCAGTTGAAGTAATTCAATTGCGTGACAAGGTAACCTTGGGTAGAGGTTACTGTACCTTGGTTACAGGGCTGCTTGAGGGGGTTAGAGTAGTTGAGGGGGAAGAAGGAGGGCGGGCAGAGGCAGAAGGAGGAGGCATCATAGCCCTCGAGGCACACGCCAGGCGCACACGTGTCAGTGCTGTTCAGACGACATGCGGGGAACTCTGGAGGGACAGTGGATATGGAGAGAGGAAATGTAGAAGGGTTAGAGGGGGGAAGTCAAGGATTAGATGGTGAGTAGGAACTGGAGGGATGATCGGAAAGCCAGGATGGATGACTGTGGCTGGCAACCTTGAGTGCGAGGAAGCTGAAGGGGGATTTACCTGGAGGGCATGAGCATGTGTGTTACCCTGTAACCACAATTGTGAAACGTTTATTCAGAAAGCAAACATCCATTGTAGTGTATTATCTATTGATTGATTGTATTATGCTGTCAGACCTGGCGTTACCAATGTGGCACAACTGAGAGGGCTGGCTGGCTGCTGCTGGGCTGTCTGAACCAAGACGGGAAGAGCACGTGCCAAGGCACAGAGTGGAATGCGTGCACTCAAGAATCAATACGATTACATGCGCCATGCTGGCTGTAGTGCTGTGCCATGCTGGCTGTAGTGTGCTGTCAGAGTTGGAGGCACAGATGTGGCACCTTGGAATAGGCTTGCAGCTGGGACGGGTGAACTGAGAGGGCAAGAGCACGGGCTAAGGCAATGGATTGCCTACCCTCGTCAGGATTTACCCTTGTCAATACCCTTGTCAATACCCTTGTCAATACACTTGTCAATACCCTTGTCAATACCCTTGTCAATACCCTTGTCAATACCCTTGTCAATACCCTTGTCAATACCCTTGTCAATACCCTTGTCAATACCCTTGTCAATACCCTTGTCAATACCCTTGTCAATACCCTTGTCAATACCCTTGTCAATACCCTTGTCAATACCCTTGTCAATACCCTTGTCAATACCCTTGTCAATACCCTTGTCAATACCCTTGTCAATACCCTTGTCAATACCCTTGTCAATACCCTTGTCAATACCCTTGTCAATACCCTTGTCAATACCCTTGTCAATACCCTTGTCAATACCCTTGTCAATACCCTTGTCAATACCCTTGTCAATACCCTTGTCAATACCCTTGTCAATACCCTTGTCAATACCCTTGTCAATACCCTTGTCAATACCCTTGTCAATACCCTTGTCAATACCCTTGTCAATACCCTTGTCAATACCCTTGTCAATACCCTTGTCAATACCCTTGTCAATACCCTTGTCAATACCCTTGTCAATACCCTTGTCAATACCCTTGTCAATACCCTTGTCAATACCCTTGTCAATACCCTTGTCAATACCCTTGTCAATACCCTTGTCAATACCCTTGTCAATACCCTTGTCAATACCCTTGTCAATACCCTTGTCGATACCCTTGTCGATACCCTTATCGATACCCTTGTCGATACCCTTGTCGATACCCTTGTCAATACCCTTGTCAATACCCTTGTCAATACCCTTGTCAATACCCTTGTCAATACCCTTGTCAATACCCTTGTCAATACCCTTGTCAATACCCTTGTCAATACCCTTGTCAATACCCTTGTCAATACCCTTGTCAATACCCTTGTCAATACCCTTGTCAATACCCTTGTCAATACCCTTGTCAATACCCTTGTGCACTATGCTGTGACACTTGTCTGGGCTTACCATTGTGGCACGTTTGGAAGGCGGGTATTTGGGGGAGCTTGTAGCTGGGCTGGCTGAGAGGGCACGAGCACGTGCTGGTGTATGTGCCTGTGGCTGCTGACCGCACCGCAGTGCACCTGCCAGCACCGCATGGATTCACGTCCCATGCCGTGCATGGGTTGACGTCTGTGTGGCATGGGGAGTGAGGAGAGACAAGGAGGAGAGGATGGTGGTGGAGATGAGAGGGGAGCAGGGCAGAACAAAGTAGAAAGAATGGTTTGAAACCATGAGAATAATAGGATTATAGGACAAGGATTGTTAGTTGAGTGGATCGATGGATGCAAGGGGGGATGAGGGAGTTGAGGGAGTTGAGGGAGATGAGGGAGTTGAGGAGAGACAAGGAGAGGATGAGGGAGATGAGAGGGGAGCAGGGCAGAACAAAGGAGAAAGAAGGATATGAAAAATCGGCATTAGGATAGAGTTTGTCAGTTGAGTGGATTAATGGATGCATTGTTTTTGGTTAACGATGCAAGAATTCTGTGGTGATGGCAATGCATGCTCAATCAACGGCAATCCATGCTCAATCACCGGCGATGCATGCTCAATCAACGGCGATGCACGATAATTTGGAATAGAATCAAATCATCGATGTGGCACATGGAACCAACTTAAGTGTGTACATGCACAGACACGTACAGATACATGCACTGCACAGATGCGTGCATAAGCACACCCCTCCGAGTCACAAACAACCATGAGATCAGAAGGTCCATGTTTGATGGACTGAACACATACGCTGATGCACTTAGGCTACAGATGCATAAGTGAATGCACACAAACACATATGCACAGACACATGCACACAACACTCAGCCAGACCCTTCACTCGAACCTGTGAATCGGAAGGTCCACGCTTTGATGGACTGAACACATGCCCACGTGTTGGCACTGCTGAACCCAGCAAACACCGGAATCACTCCCTCAGTGCTGCTATTGCCATCATAGAACACAGAGCACAGGTCAAGAGTCAGCTTCACACTCCCCATCCTCATAGCCCCTTTATAAGTCGCTGCCTCCAGTGTCTTAGTGGCAGCCGTATAGTCCACCCTCATGCTGTACAACGAGGATGAAGTGTATTTCTTTTGAGACGAAAAAGCCAGTCGCCGAGTCACGTTAAAGTCAGTGTGAATGGAGAGAATCGCCACATCCTTGTAAACATCATGGTTAGGGTCAAGGCCGCTAAAGGCATCAAACATCACCGCCACACTCCTCCCTCCGTCCGCCCATGTTCCATTCGCATTCCTGTCTGCCAAGTCGCGGCCATACCCCATAGCCGCCCCTCCTTGCCCCACCCCCAGCCGAGTACTTAGCATGAAAACTACCCCGTATCCAAAAAATCCGCTTCCCTTGAGTTCAAAAGGAAACCATGAGGTGAAGGACCGAGCCTTGCACACCACTGCATCAGTCTTCCCACCCTTTTTCCCCTTGCGTTGGGGAGGGGCAGGGAGGAGCGAGAGCAGGGGCAGGGGGAGAGGGAAGAAGGCAGCGCCTGCCTCCTCGTCATCGTTGCCCGGGGTGAGTTGCAGTGAGGAGAAGGTTTGGCGAGTAGAACCCAAGGCAGTGAAGCGGGCGCCTTGTGTGAGGAAGGGCAAGGAGAGCGACGGCGGCAGCCAGAGGGGAGGAGGAGCCGGTGCTGGGAGAAAAGGTGGTGGGGGTTTTGGAGGACAGGAGGAAGAGGAGGGAAACAAAAGGGGGAAGAGAGGAAACACAGGGAGGAGGAGAGAGGAGGGAGGATAGTATTAGTAGAACTATGTAGATTGTAGCGTGCTAAGTGTTTGTGACTGTACATCAAGTGTGGTGTACTGTCGAGTTGGGCATGTACCCCATTGTGGGTGTACATTTGTTCTTGGGGTGTCAATCCAATCCACCCATTTGTAATATAGCCCACAAGTACAAGCTTGTTGTTTGTCCCACACCCATGGTCCCTTCTTTGTGGTTGGTCCTTCCAACCACTTTTAAGAACCAATGATGGTTGAGGTGTAGTGTACAACCACCACTTGCCCCCAGCCCAACCATCCCCTTCCCTCCCATCCCAATCGTCACTTGGATTCGTATGTATGCCGAATCCAAACTGCTCTATCAGATCATTTCTCACGGTTATATCACCCCCACATGCAGAGGGGATAGATAGGTGACGAAGAGGGGAGATAAACGGAGGAAGTGGGCAGGAGGAACACTACGAGTACACTCCCCTCTCATTTAATCCTTGCCTCTCTCTTGGCAAGTTGAAAACATCCCGACGCAACTGCCCTTCCCGCTGCCACTCCCCCGCTCACCTTGGGTGTCGACCTGGAAGGCCCAGGAGAGGATGTCGTGCGTCTGAGTGTGCAGCGGCAGCAGCCCCGTGCCGGCTGCAAACCCTGCATGCACCAACACGGCCTCCCCCTCCCCGCCGTCCTCCTTCGGAGGGGAGTGAAAGAGGTCGCAGGCGTTGAAGGGGAGGGAGAGGAGGGCGGAGGGGGGCATGGCGGGCGAGGAGGAGAGGCGCACGGAGAGCAGCGAGGCGGTGGCGTTGTAGGCCACCCACGCATGCAGCGTCTCGTTGCCGCCCAGCCAGGGGATGCCCGCAGGGTGCACGGACGCATGGCCTGCTGACGTCATGCTGTAATCCACGTTCACCCCCACGTGATGAGTGGTTGGGTCCACAAACAGACGAGTTGATGACGTGTCAAACTCCACTGCCAGGCTGTGCTGATGTGGCAGGCTGCTGTTATATGTGATGCCAATCGGGGTGCATTCAAGGGCCCCATTCACTACCACACACTCTTCCCCCATTCCCCCACCCACAAGTCCCCCCCGTTCTGCAGCCACAAACAACTCTTCCTGACTGTAAGGCCTTCTGCCGTATCCCATGTTTGGCCCGGGCAGCCCGACGGTTGGGTCGGGCAGGAGAACGAAAGAAAAGCCGTCTGCCCCGGGAGCAGCAGCGGATTGGGGAGAGGAGAGGCGGAAGGAGAAGGAGGAGGAGAAGGAGTAGGGGCGGCAGGGAGAGGTGGGGGAGGCGGGGGAGACGAGGGGGAAGGGCGTGGGGTGCAGGGCAAGGCCCGCTTGGTGGGGGGGAGAGAGGGGGGTGAGGTGCAGCGAGGAGGTGAGCCGGGCCGAGCCGGAGGTGAGGAGGGGAGAGGAGGAGGTCAGCGGGGAGTAGGAGAATGAAGGAGGGGAGGAGGCTGCTGAAATTTGTGGGGAAGAGGGAGGGACAAAAAGGGTGGAAGAGTGAGCAACATAGACAATTTGCGAAGGAGAGAGAGAACTCTAAAGACTTAGACTCTAAGGTATGTAACCTCATGAAACAAGGTATGCAACCTCATGAAACAAGGTATGTAACCTCATGAAACAAGGTATGTAACCTCATGAAACAAGGTGTGTTACCTTATGAAACAAGGTATGTAACCTCATGAAAAAAGGTGCACAGAGGGTCGAGTCATCCAAGCCTGGTCCTTGACTCATGAAACAAGGTGCATCTACTGAACAGAAGCGTCATCAAGAAGGACACCTGTGATCCCAAGAAACGCACCTGTGCCTCTGGGAGTCACCGTGACCAGATCCACATCGATGTTCCCTGCTGCTGCTGCTGCTGCTGCTGCTGCTGCTGCTGCTGCTGCCGCTGACGTGAGCACCCCGCCTTCCACCGCTGCTGCGATTGGAACAGCCCCCGACGCGGCCGCATCTCCAGTCACAGACGAGCCCCCAGGCAGCGACGAGCCCCCAGGCAGCGACGAGCCCCCAGACCCAAAGGGAGCTCCGGGAACGGGCACCCAAACGGGACCAGGCAACACCACGGTGTCCGCCCCCTTTCCCTCCAGCAGCACGAGGTGCAGAGCCACGCCTTGCGGCGGGAAGGATAGAGCAGCGGCGGAGGCGGAGGAGGGTGGGAGGTGGAAGGAGTAGGGCCCGTGCTGGCGCCAAGGGAGGAGGCCCGAGAGAGATTTGGAGTTGTTGTTGAGGCAGGGAACGCCGACGGTCCATTGATGCAGCACCACCATCTCTCCGCTGTGCATGCCTGCTGCTAACGCACTGCCCAGCTCACCCTCGTCCATGCTGCTGCTGCCAACAGTGGCTGGCAGTGGTGGCAGGGGCACGGCGACGATCATGGCTCGCATCGGCCGCAATCCAGAGGCAGAAGACACATCCATCATGCACTCGCGTGCCCTCGCATAGAAATACAGCGAAAACTCTGCCTCCTCCTGCTGCTGCTGCTGCTGCTGCTGCTGCTGCTGCTCTCCCCCTTCCGCGACACACAGCAGCTGCCCCACTCCCTGCACCGGCCACACTGCCCCTTCACTCTCGCTCGCCCCGCTGCCCCAAAGCTCGCCACCGGTGCCGCCACTGCCGTCGCTGGGCTGCAGGCGAACGAACCGACCGCCCTCAGCAGCAACGGACGGGTCCCTGGGCGGAACCTCCCCTCCCCCTCCCCCCTCCCCCGTTACCACTCCCCCCACCTGTCCTTGCTGCTCTGCTGCGAGGGGGGCGAGCGGCACCCATGACGATAGGGGCGAGGGCCAGTCTGCTGCACTGGAGGTTTCCTCGAAGCCCGCATTGCGCAGGAGGTTCAACGATGGAGCTGGGAGGTTGGGGAGAGGAGGTGGGTGGGGAGGGTGGGGCGGGGAGGATGGGGGGAGGTTCAAAGAGGGAGCTGGAGGTTCAAAGAGGGAGCTGGAGGCGGTGGGTGGGAGTGAAGATGGGGTGGGGAGGGAGGGAGGATGGGGGGGATGATGGAGGGAGGTTATCAAGAAGAGCGGGAAGTATGACGTGAGCGGGACAATCAACACACGAACGGGAGAAAAGGGAGTGACAGATATATCTGAAAGGGGAGGTGGGGGAACAGCATTTACGCGGGGGGGGAATGGGGAGCGAGGGATGGGAAATGGGGTAAAGGTGTAGGTTAGTGCAGCAGAGCCGCTGGGCGGAGGGTGGCAGAGGCGCTGGACTGGGCGGCGGTAGAGCGGGGGCGTAGAGGCGGAAGGCTCGGTGACAATGGAATGCGGGAGACGCGGCGATGATGCGATGACCGCTCTCAGAAGGCGGAGGTGATGCCGCCATTTGCTGCTGCTGGCGGAATTGGTTGGGTGTGGCTGTCGGCGAAAGTTGGGCGAGAGGCATGTAATCATGCGCGGCCTCATCGACGTATTGCAACGATCGGATCGATACCTTCGTCTCAAAAAACAGGAGGGGACCCAATTCACCCCGAACTCCCTGCGCGGTCTCTGGATCCTCTGCGACTTGAGCTGCCGTGAGGCAAACGCCACGTCACGTTTCCGAGAGAGAGCTGCGAGGCTGGTTGCGAGGCTACCTTCGAGACGTGACGTCGCACGAATCAGTACCTCGAGCCGCGAGGCTAGTGCTACCCTTTTTGAGACGTCGCATTGAGGACTAGTACCCTGAGCTGCGAGGCTGGCGCATGTCGGCACGGCGGCGTTGGCGACGGCGACGAGCGAGAGGAACTGCGCGCCGGTTACCACAAGCAGTCGAAAAACGACGATGAGGCGGCCTTGACTCCTGATGCCCCGTGGAGCATGCCCATTGGAAGCATCCTTCGGAGTGCCACTGAGCAGGGACGCAGCAATTGACTCGCTATAGAGTGACCCGTCAAGAATAGCGGATGTTCGGTTCGCATGTGGCATGGAGAAAAGCGCCGCGAGATCGGGCGGCGGTCGGGAGGAAAAGGGAGAAGGAGCGAAACTTGCGGTGGCGGCAGCATCGCGCAACAGAAGTATGATTCTAACGTCTGCGGTTTCAGAAAACCCGCATTTGCTGTCCTGTTTCTAACCACCCGGCCGAATTGAGTTTCCGGGCGATTTTCCACGCCCTAACAACAAGGCGAAGGCAAGCTGGGTCAAAGCTCTGAATCAGGTCTTGAGGCAGAACATATGGCCGCTGGTAATCCAACTCGAACCCTAACCATATTGCACCACGCCTGTATCTCAAGGAAACGCGTCAGACTGCTTTGCACCTTTCTGAACTTCAAAATGTGAGTCTTGTTTCACCGACTTGTTTGAACTCTCCTAAGGAGCATCACACAAAGATCGAGTTTTAGGTTCCTCCAGTGCAAGTTGCAAACCCTCCTGATGGCTTGAGGGGGCAGTTGTGTGTAGAGTTGTGTAACCGGGGAAAGCGAGGAAACCAAGTGGTGAATTGGTCTTGTGGCAGAGAGCAGACGAACAGCCACACGCATCGCGCGAATGTTGGAGTTCGGTTGGGTGAAACCAGGGCTCTCTCGATTCATTTTGAAGGACCTTCTGACCGGTGTACGAGTGGTCAACCAGGTTCACCCTGCCACTGCAGTGTTCCAACCGCAGCAATGCCATGAATTTGCAGGGCGTTCCTTTGCCCCTTATCGGAAGAGGCGTTCAAAGAGAAACCTTGGCGAGGCGCGCTGGAAGAGCGCATGAGACACAGTACGTGTACAGCATTTTGTAAGAGGATGAAATGGAGTCCCTAGTTTCACCCGAGGCAGTACTGTCCAAACCCCTAGTGTTGGATTTTTGTGTTCTCCCTCCAGCCCTGAGCCACCTGCTTGCTTCTCCCTCTGATGTCGCTCTTGTTAGGGGGGAATTTTCAGCAGGGTGCATGGTGAATTGAGCAAGGAGCAAGCACTACGTAACGTAACGCTTAAAGCCCGCAGCCCAAGTTGCAGAAGATTAGTAATCTTGATGGCAGGGCGCTTGGGCTGGCGAGGGGTTTCTAGCACAGGTGTCTTCGTTTGCGCTCGTGTTTGTGCTGAAGTCCCTAGTTGCAACAAGAGGTTCTGCAAGTTGAGTATCGGTACTAGGATGGATTTGTAGAAAGTGTCGCCGGGCAACACCTAGGTCATCAAGATCAGTAAGCTTGATGCCCGCGGCCTGCAACTTGGGACTCGGGTTTTAAAGTGAATTTTCGGGTCTCTCAAGCCAAGTGAAGGGAAGCAGCAGGGGTACATACGACGAATGTTGTTTTTGCAGTGTGGTAGCCGAAACTATATAGAAAACAAACAGGGAACGCCGGCAATCAAGAACCCAGAGAGTGGGAGGAAACGAGCGACTGAGGCTGGGGCAGTAGGTGAACGCGCTGTTGTGTCTGCGCACACGGCACTAGCGACGAACGACATGCTGCTTGCCAGACTGGGACGTTCACATTGTTGAAGGTCAACGCCAGGGTTATCAAGGTGATTTTGGGGACCGTGCCCAATCAGAGTTGCGATCCAGGTTCACCCTGCCACAACAGGGTTCCCGAGAGGCTTTCTAAAAAACGTATATTATTCTTTTTTTCCTTGTCTAAACTGGCAGGGTACTATTTTTGCTTGGTTTTGTTTTGTCAACCATTCTGCACAAGCCAGTAGGGACTGTATAGGAGGTGTAGCAATAAACCTTTTAGTATGAGAGGGAGAGTGATATGCCCTTTATTTTAAGACCGCTAATGAATAGCGGGTTGTTAATATCGACGATATTCATAATTAATTTGACGAATGAGGTTTCCGAGAAATATGTAAAGTTACAAAGAAAAGAAATGTATGACACTGGAAAAAACAATCAAGCAATATACAGTATGTAAGATCGATTGTTCGATAGTGGTTAGTGTGATTAACATTTGATAATGGTTCGTGTGATTAACATTTGATAGTGTTTTGTGCGACTAACAATTAGAACGCAAGAAGAAATGATGACACGTCGTGTCACGGCAATTTTCGGGGATTAATGAGAAAATCGTCGGAGTAAGTAACCCATGAACAATAAAGTACCACATAGCACTGCCATCACCATGGGAAACCACGTCCACGGCACCTACAAGCTGAAGGTATACTTGAAGGCAAGTTGTCGTCAATTTCATCGTGGCCATGCCAACGGACCCCCTGTGGACTGCTATAGTGACCAATGATGCGCTGAATTCGGTAGACGGGCTCGTTGGTGTTAACAGCTACTGGCAATGGAGTGCCATCACGGCCCGAAGATGGTGTTGGGGTTGGTGTAAGGACAAGAGACACTCAAAGTCCTCCTGCCTGTCCTCAAGGACGTCCGTGCCAAGAGCACATTCACCCCCGACGGAGGAAGGACTGGCAGACTCAGACTCAACAACAGGAGCACTGTCATAGTCTAGAGGACAGGGAGCAGCAAAGTCAACCAGCTCAGAAACGAGGGCAGACGCAGCAGTGGACTCAAAAGAAGGGTCAGTGACAACAGTAGCGAGGAGACGAGAGATAGTGGGAGTGGCAGCACGAGCGCGGCCAGACTCAGGGTCACGGACGGCAGGAAGAGAGGACTCAAAAGGAGCAGGAAGAGGAACACGCAGTGGAACAGAGGAAGGACGAAGTGCCATAGCGTGCGTGCCGGGGACAGGAGGAGGACGCGGATGAGGTACGCGACGAGCACTGCGAACAGGCAAGTCAGGACGAGACGCAGGCGCACGACGCTCTATAAGACCTCCGGTCTGCCCAGTGTAAGGAGAAGGGGCAGGCAGTGGGGAGGCTGGATGTAACGGCGGCTGTGACTGGTCAGGCGGTGGACATAGTAAGGGAGGAGTAAGGCTAGTAGAAGACGGGGGACCAAGAACCTACTAAAGCAGGGGAACGAAGTACGGTCGCGGCCGCACAGTGCCTCCAGCACTAGTACTGCCAGATACAGCACCCCCAGCTCCAGCACCTCCAGCTCCAGGGTCAACAGCTCCAGTGTATCCAGCTCCAGCTCCTCCAGCCCCAGCGCCACCAGCGCCAGTGCCTCCAGCTCCAGCTCCTCCAGCTCCAGCGCTACCAGCACCAGTGCCTCCAGCTCCAGCACCTCCAGGCTCCACAGGGTCTCCAGCTCCACCTCCTCCACGTCCAGTGCTCCCAACACTACCAGACCCGGCAGGATCAGTACCCCTGTTACGAGCACCTCCAGGACCAGCAGCTGTAGCTCCTCCGGTACCACCAGCTCCAAAAGTAACTCCAACACCTCTAGCTCCAGTGTCTCAAGCGGCAGAGTCTCCAGCTCCGGCAGCTCCACTCTGAAGGCGTGTGCACTAAGCAAACCACTCGCGCGGGTGCTGCGGGGAGAGAGGCTCCGGCCGGGGAGACGGTCGTGGCGAAGCACCCGCAGGACCTCCAGAGGAAGCAGTACCCCGTGGCTCAGCACCCCCAGATTCCGCACCCTCAAACTCAGCACCCCCAGGCTCAACACCCCCAAGCTCAGCACCTCCAGGCTCCACACACGTAGGCTCAGCACCCCCAGGCTCCGCACCCCCAGGCTCAGCACCCCCAGACCCGGCACCCTCAGACTCAGCATCCCCAGGCTCCGCACCCTTAGGCTCCGCACCCCCAGACTCAGCACCCCCAGACAGCACCTCGAGCAGCACCTGAGTCACCAGCTACCTCAAGGGGCATAGTACCAGGGAGAGGGTCGACCTGAGACATACCTGAGGGTGCAGGACCCTAGGGCGGGAAGGGGTCTACCGGAGGAGGACCGGGAGCAAGGAAGAGCGGCGTGGGTGGGGGAGGGGCAGAGCGGTAGGGGAAGAGACGGTAAAAGGGAACCGACTCATCAAACGTGACGTCCTGAGAGGGGATGACACGGCGCGAGGTGGGGTGGTAAAACTGCCAGCCACGCGCGTCAGGGGGAAAGCCAAGGAAGACGCAGGGAATAGCACGGGCGGAGAGCTTGTCCGCGGACGTATCGCAAACAAAGGAACGAGAGCCCCAGACCCGGAACACCGACGCATAGCCAACCTCCCCCGTCCAACGCAGAGTCGGTGAGGTCTCCGGCAAGGAGACACGGGGCTAGAGGTTGAGCTGATACGCAGCGTACCGGACCGCAAACGGCCACAGAAATGGGGAGCAACCGCATGGATCATGGAGGTACGAGCGACCTCCATGACTAAGCCAATGCGGCGCTCAGCAATCCCATTTTGCTGAGGGGAGGCCAGAAGCGTGAACGACTAGAGAATGACCTTCCCACGACAAAACTCCCGCAAGAGTTCGGAGGAGAACTCACCACCTCTATCAGAATGCAGACGCGGAACATGAAGGTCCTGGTGGAACCGCTCGCGGAGCTGGAGACGGACTGCGCGGATCCAAGGGATCAAGACATCAGGGACGCCCCCCTTGCTGCGCAAGGGGAAGACCGTGGTGTACCGCGTGTAGTTGTCAACAACCAGCAGAAAGTGGCGCTCGCGGCCCTGTCCACTGACGCGGGCTGGGCCCCACACGTCCATGTGGAGAGTCTGCAAGGGAGCAATCATCAGGGGAAACGAGGAGTGAGGAGCGGCGCGCTGCCTCCCCTCTACGCAAGGAAGGCAGTACAAGGCAGGCAAGGGCGGGAGGGGAGGCAGAGACCTGGGAAGACCAGAGACAATGAGGCGGGAGTGCATGCCACGAAGGCGTGGCAGGGAGGGGTGACCAAGGCGGTGGTGCCAATGGAGAGTCTGGTGCGACAGGAGGCGACACGAGCAAGGGGGTGCTACCTAACCTGACGCGGACACCTGGGCAGACGCAGCTACCTGAGGAGGCTCGGTAGCCAGTGTGTACAGACTCGACCCTGGCCGACGAGTGAACGTGGCCAGGTGATGGCCCGTCCGTGTACACGTGCAGATCGACACACGCTGACCCCCAGGAGTGGTGGTAGTGACCATCGCATCCTGGAGGGCAGCTGTACTCACCATGTTCGTAGAGAACGAG